GACTGCAGGTCAAAAGTAGATGTGGGTCCCAGGCAACTGCAGTGGAGGTCTGGTTAATAGTGTGGTGTCTCCCTTCAGGCCAGCTGCCCCAGGCAAACTCCCCCTTGGACTGTGCCTGCGGCTGGCTTCTGGTTTGAATACAATTCAAGGGAAAAGGAGCTGCTTAAACCTCTGGTTTTAACACCTTTTCTGTCTCTGATCTTACCCCCTTCACCTCTTGGTGCCCCAGCTTTTGGTAACTTGTACCCTAATTTCCTCATGGCCATTACTAAGAGTAAATGCATAGGCGATTTTCATGGCATCTAAAAAGACCATAAAATTTGGGCACTGTTGATATTGCATGTTAAAACGAAAGAGCCCTCATTTTATGAAAAATAAGAATTAGCAGTCATGAGAGTAGTGTGAAAACACCCTGATCTACTTCTGCAGCTCTATTTATTCATTTGTAGGTTCTCTTGCAGTAGTTTATTTTCATACAAAACTGAATGTTATTCCTGGCTGGGTGGTAAAAAGGATGCTCACTGAAGTGGACGAGCGTAATATTTTGAAGTTAGGACTAATATCGGTTTAGCGCCATTCATTCATTGTAATTGCTATTGTTATGTTATGTAAATAAAACTGGCCTTTTCCTTTCAGTGTGGTTGTGTGGTGGATTTAATTAAATTTGAAATCGAAAAAGGGCAGGAAAGCTTATCAGTTTTAAATAAATTAAAAATGGATTCTAATAATTTAGAGTTATAAAGCATCGTAGTTGGTTTAAAGTTAAGATATTCATGTCGGTTCCTAATCAAACACTGTTGTGCTAACAATTCACTAAAAGCATTAAAGAGAACTGTATTTATTGTAAACAATCATCAAACATCAGCATTTCTGTATGGTATGGAACTGACCAACAAAAATCATTTTTTAATCAAACAGCAAACTATCATATTTTAAAGTCAGATATGGAAATAATTTCTGGTTATCCGAATCATATGAAATATTCTCAAGTAACAATGTGATAAGGCCCATATGACTGTTTAAACTATTTTTGTTAAAGACATTTTTGTTTCACTACACACAAGATATCTACTCAGAGTAAAACTCATCCTCTTTCTATGGGATGGGATTTGTTCTTCCAAAGAGACCTCATTCTAGCACTACTGCCCATCTTTCATAATTTATTTTTTCTTTCACTATCATTTTTCTTTAAATGTGTTTAAAATTTTAAAATCTTCCTCTTTGGAACTATTCCTCTGTTTTATACCCCTCCTATTATTTGACATTATTTTACAGTTTATATCTTCTAGTAAGCAACCTACATCCACACTCTACTGCTATTGTCTCCCTGCGTGTGTGTGTGTGTGTGGGGGGGGGTGCTTTTCTGAATCTTTTATTCTTTTATGCTTTTCTGAGTATTTTATTCCATTAATCTATACCCAGACTATGGTGTTTCTACCCAGGAAAGCATATAAAATAGTGTTCTCACTTGAGCACTGGCATAAATGAGTCTATGTTCAACATTTGGTACTTACATATTAAGTGTAGTTTGTTCAGTTTAGACAATTTGCTTTCCTTTCCAGTTACAAAAGATTTATGCATAGCAAAAGTCATTACTTATAATCTTTGCTCAGTTTAGTTAGGGCATTAGTTAAATCTTTATTCTTTAATAACATGAGGAAATAACTGTTTGAAGAAAAAAATCTGATTTAAAAATAGAGACATTCATGTGTTTTTAGGTGAATAAGTAGACTTAAAAATATTTGTAGTTTGAATTATTTATATTGTAGCACACAGCTAAGAAATGATTTTATATTGGGGATAAAAATACACGAAAAATCTATAGGCATTACCAGAGAAATCATAATGCCCAGCTGATTTTTCAATTTGAATTAACCAGTAATTTCATCTGTTCCTATAAAACTGAAGACAGTTGGTCTATCAGTTATGAATCAAATAATGATCAGTATCAGCAGAACGCAGGCACTAAAATCTATTGTTTTTGGTTAAAATGAGTTACAGGCTTTTAATCCAAGTAATAAGAGCCACCTTTCTTTCATTAATCATTTAATGCCTGTGGCTTTACTTTCTTTTTTTAAACAAGCCTATTTTTTCACAATTAAAAAATAACATTTCCAACATTATTTAAAGTAAAGGAATAAAATATGGGATTAAAAAAGAAACAGCTGCCTGTCTGTCCCACCCCCACACAATTGTTCGAATTGACAAGCTGAAATCTGTGAGACCTTATTTCAACAAACGTGAGACATGGTGAATTTGCAAATGACTGAAGAGTCCTAATGATATTTTAGGAGCATTTTTATATTGCCTCCCTCATAGATGAAATATGGTATTATTTTCTTAAAAAAGAGAAAGACACACACACACACAGATGTCACTGTAGCATGATGAATTGCTATAGTTTTTCTTTTAAAAGACATATCTAACAATGCAGAATAGCAGATTGCATAGATGATAGCCATATTTTTCCTCCCTTAAAACATAAAACTTGTTTAGTAAAGTGCCTTTTAAAAATGGGGATTGTGTGTCATGTGCAGTGCAGTGTTGCAAAGGCAGCTAGACCATAGGCAGTATGTGATTGTCATTTGAAGAAAGCAATAATATGGCCACCAGAAGGTTGCTGAAAATGTCTGTTGTAAATTCCAGTCTCCGTCCATGTGACTGAGTCTAAAATGAGCAAGGGAAAATTCCTTCCATGTTAACATATTTCTACTTCAAACACTTGGAATAGACAAACTCACCTTGCTAGGGGATCTCATGTAAGTGATTTTATAAACAGTTCAGAATTATAGAGTCCCTGCCACAGTTCAGAGATAAAACATTCAGGATCTAATTCCAATATCTTGCTGGCTCTTGTGCATGCTTCACTTTTCAACATGCATATAAATGGCTACATGGAGAAAGGCTGTATAACCATGACAATTGTCGGGATAAATGAGTTCTGAACGTAAGAATTGTCACTATGACATGTTTTACACTACCTACATGTTAAAAATCCTTTTATGCCAATAATTTGCATAACATGCTTAGACAAGCATATGTTGTCCCTCAATTTCTTAAAAGAAATGACCCAAGTTAATAGTGCAGTGAGAAATGTATTCATATTTCATTATATACAGTTAGTGTGGGCTATGGATGATCCCACACTAAATAAGAGATGGAAATAAAGAGACTTAATATGATAGTTCAGCTATATATATGTATGTGTGCATGTGTGTGTGTGTGTGTGTACTTATATATTAACATATATAAATAAATTTTGGGAATTTATTCTTATTATCAATGTCTTTCATGTTCTCATGTTTTTTATCTCTTTTAAAAAATATTCTAGAAGTTCAAGACTTTTTTTATTATTTACTGTGCAGTGCACACCTGATGTTTGTATCTGGAGATTAAATCTACTAATCTAAGTATTAGTAACCTATCCAGTAAAATTGTTTTCTAAAATGCACATTAAAACTAATTATCAATTTTGAAGAAAACCCAGGCTTTGGGGATCCTCACATATTTTTAAAACATGTAATAATCAGTTTATTAAAATGGTTGATGCAATCGTGAGTTCAGTGTTGATTTCTGGCAAAATATATATATATATATATATATATATATATATACATACATATATATACATACACACAAACACACATATATATTTATACTTCATGTATTATCTAATTTTATTATAAATGTCATCTTTAAAAAAAAGGAAGCCTACTATTTTAATAGGCCTACTCCAATAACATAATATACGTTGGGGGAAGAATTTCTGTATAGCAATACAGACTTTGCTGTATTGAAGTCACACCGCAGTCCCTAAAACACCTTGAGTGGCTGTAGAATTCATACCTGGTAAAACTGCTGCGTTTACCTTTTGTTTGTTTTTACTGTTTATCCAAGTTAACATGAAATTTTCAATTATTAACATTTCCTTAAAATTATCCTTCATTTTATTTGAAGAAGGGTAGCAAACACAAATGAGGACTTTGATCAGAAATAGAATCAGTGTCATTACTTAACAGAATAAAATATCATGAGATGTAGGTTGACCTAGATTCCTTATTTTTGTTGGAGAATTTCTATCGAATCACTTGAGAAGTCATTTGTGAAGTACAGTGAGGTGGTTTGCGTTTTGTTATGTTTCTTCTTAGATACTTCAAGCTGGCTTTTTACCTGCACAGATTTTCAATCAGGTAGGCTCTGTGATGAGGATTAAACTGTCAGAAAATGTATACAAAGCACATAGTTGTTCAAAACACAATAAACTTTGAGCAAATTTTTATTCCTTTCTTCCTTCACCCTTTCAGATTTTGATGTTTATAATTACCATGCCTGTAATGTTTGGGTTGAACTCTATTGTTCTAGATTTGGTATATATTATCTGCTTATTTTAATGAAGCTTCTGACTGTGAAATAAAAGCCTTCAGTGGGTCATTACTTTCCTGCATGAGAAGAGTCATCTGCATAAAGATGAATGAGGGATCTAATTTTCCCCTCCACCCTGGAACTCAGCATCAGCTACCCCCAGCCCCATGTCTGTCTCTCCTTGCTCTATCTAGATCCCTTGTATATATCAAGCTTATCTCTGGGAGGCAGGAAGCTTAAAAGAGATTCATAGAATTGAATCCAAGCCTGGAGGAGGAAAGATGGTTTTCAATTGCTGTTCTCAGCAGCTGAGGTGGATATTACCTGGCTTCAAATGCCTTAGGCTCTGCTCAGGCCATCTTAGGCACCCATATTAAACCAGTGACGTCATCACTGTACACTGGCAGTGGCAGCCCCTGGGCAAGGCTGCAGATAAATCAATGAAGTGTACTTTCTTTGGTATCTATCATAGTACTTCACTATTAGTTTTTCTTTGTACTAAGAAAGAAAAAGAAAGAGAAAGATCTATTATCGTATCTTCACCAGCAGATTAATCTCAATTGTTTTCCTTCTTTGCCTTAGCAGCAATTTTAAAAATAACTGATTGGATTAAAATGGTGATTTTTTTTTCCCTTTAGGATCAGCTATCATGTGGAGGCACAAACACGGGGCTAAGAGTAAGGCTGTCCAATCTACCTTCTTCAAGGCAAGTTGCTCAAACCCTCAAACGAGTTCTGTCCAGCAAATTGGGGAAAGTGGTCTTTGTAATTACCCAGTCACAAATAGTGCCTGTCACATAAACTATGTGAAGGTAAAGATGAACTGTATTAACTGAAAACAACCCTACAAGTTCTTTAAGCTCTCCTTTAATAGGAATTCACACTTTATAAATCACATATGCTTATATACATATGCATACATATATACCTACACTCATCTAATATAATACCCCACTCTACTCTCCATTTGTTTCATTGAAAATAATATGTAGAGCTATCTTCCCATTTCAATACATATTATAACTTGTGTTTTAATTGTCTTTTATAATACCTCTATTTTATTTTACCATTTCCAGTTTTTTATGTTGTTTAGAAAGCCTATCTCTGGACTTTAGATATATTTTATTATTTCTTCTAGGTATCTTTTAGATATCTTTTCAAATATCTAAACATTGTTTCCTATGAGTAAGTAAATGGTTTCATATATTCAACGGGCATTATTACTATCATGTTCTTGTTGTGATTGTTGTTAGATATAAGTAAGGAAGCGAAGATCCGGTTTTACTTTTTCCCAAATGATAAAATGATTGTTTCAATATTATGATTGAATAATCCATTTCCTCAGTAATTTGAATAATTTCTTATGTTACTACTGAATTTATTTCTAGATTGTATATTATATTCATTTGGCTTGCAATATTTTCATTAATCCACACTTTTACCTTACTACAAATGTTGTGAATAAAACCATTATTTATCCAATACTAACATCAAGATTTGGTGGTTGGTAGGGAAAGTCCCCAGCTGAGAGTCTGATAGAAAGGATTGCTTCTCTGGTTTGGGGAGCTTAAGAATGTCTTGAAAAAGTCAATGGGAACAATAAGAGAGGTAAAGAAGGAAGATCAAGTATATATAAATGAATGGTATTGCAGTCCCAAAGGGGGTTGAAAACCACATGTAAATATAGATTGGGTTACTGATGTGGACTTTCCCCACACATTAGTTGCTCTGTTTGTTTCAGAGTGAAGAAGAGAGATGAATGGATTCTTCCAACACTGGGATTTAAATGGGGCAGTTACAGAAGGGCAAACTGATATGGACTTGAGAGCACCAACAAAAGGCTAGTTAAAATGGTGTCTTGTAACACAGAAGCTGATTGAAGAAGGACATAAGCCAGGAGGATACTGATAAATTGAGAAAACAATAGGCAACAAATTTAGATGCTGCTGACTTTCAAGAGCTTATTAAAGGAAACTTAGAGAGTAAAATAACTGAGGAGGTGGAGTAGTAGCCAGAATATTGAAGCTTCTGTGGCTGTGATATATATAATAAATCCATTGTTCTTTTTCTTTGTGTTGTTTATTTTTACACAATAAAATTATCAGAAGGGTGAGATATAGTTGAATAAAATGAGGGAATTAAAAACTGCATAGACAGAGAACTCGTGAAATTCTTCTGCTATAATGAGGGAGGAAACATTTAGGAGAAAAAGAGAGCAAACTGTTTTTAAAAAAATAAAGTCTTACTAGGATTAGGGTCATGAGGCAATACACTTGATAGAAAAAGAGAAATCGCAAACATTTTAGAATAAAACAAAAGTGGATCTGATCTAAAATGTGGTACAGTATCATTGTAATGTAGCAGGAGGAGAAAGAGAAAGTGGGTATAAATATTTGAAAGGAGTTCTCCAAGTTCAATTAAATGCTTAGGCAGGTCCCCAAATTAAATTAGATGCCAAGAAATAGTTGGCAAACAAAGTGTAGTAATTAAATGCCACAGGGCTAGGAATGTGACCGAGACTCACCACATTATGCCACCTCTTCATGTCCCTGTTCCACTCCACAATAGGAAACTTAGTAAATGAAACAAATGGATCACAGTCCAAAATGGCACAAAAAAGATAACTGAAACCAGATGCTAAGGATAAACACAACTGTGGCCAGAGATGTGGATTCCAAGGGCAACTCTGCATTGGCCAAATGGGAATTTACACTCTTGGATAAATAATGTGCCAGGATCCTGGGGTCCAGTCTGAATGAAGGAAGATGCTGTGCTCATGGAGAAAGAAAAGCAGGCAGTAAATTAATAAGCTGTGAGTACCCATCAAATAAAGTTATGCATGGATTTGTAGCCTGGGTAATACCAGAGTTTCAATCTTCTAATAGAACATGCAGACACTGGGCTCTACTACTAACATATCAAGAACACAAACCCAATTGCAATCTCAGATTTGGATGCAAACAGCAGAGTCTTGGAATATCTAACAGTTCTACCAATGTTCCAACATTAATTCACCACTTTTAAATTATGTATTTATATATGCATACAGACATATATCATCTTCTTATATGTTATTCTTACTTTGACTTGGTTGTTCTAGTGGTTTTAAATTAACAGAGATAATATCACTTATAAATAACTGATTTTGGTGTTTAGATACTTGGTTTTGAGAAATGGAGTTGCCTTTCCGGTAGAGGGTTTAAGTGACTTTCTAAATAACTACAATTGGCACAGGGAAGTAACTTGAAAGTTTTTTTGTTTTGTTTTGTTTTGTTTGTTATTATTGTTGTTGTTGATGTTCTTTAAATATGTGTATCTAGGATTCATATATAATCAATTCACCTTAATGGACAGCATTAGCTTTGCTGTGTATGGAAAAAAAAGCAAAGAGGAAATTGTAGTGTCTGAAAGAAATTTTGTTGCTATCTAGGTTAACCTAGAACACTTTGTAAGGATCAGAAATTAGTATATCCAAGGAAACCAAATTGTGAGGTATTGCTAAATGTAGAAGTTCAGAAATTATTCTTTATATGTTAGTAACAACCAGTAGAAAATCTAACGGAAGCACTCAACCTCATGGTTTTCAAATAGAGTGTTTTCTTTCATTCATTTTCTTCAGAAATATTTCTGCATTCATTCACACAGAATTCTTTAAGTAGATCCATGGGTTGTATTCTCTAATTTAGAATTTAGGCAAGTACAAGTGAATACAGAAAGCTTTCTGATGAACTACCTAAAGAAGTAGAGCTCTGTTACTGGTTTAAAGCTCTTTTTAACTAGTTCACTTTATACACACACACACACACACACATACATACTTTTGATTACTAAGGACAAAATAATCCCAAGAGTATAATCCTCCAATAAAGTAGTCAGACTATGATAATATCATAAACATTATAATATACTTGGTAAGTCACCTAGCTAAATTACCCAAAATGGTCTGAATTTTTGAGCAAAATTGCATAAAAGTATAGAAACCAGAAAAAATGCATTTTGAGCAAAATTGCATAAAAGTATAGAAACCAGAAAAGTTTTTCATTTTTATAACTGACAGCCAAGAGCACATGCAATGAAGTTTATATAAAAACTACTTTTGAATGGCATTATGTATTAGGGAATTTTGTCTAAATAAAGAAATTATCTGGGAAATGGGGATAAAGCTTATATTTTCTTTATAAGGAGTGAGGATTAATGAATAACCCTGACAGGGTGCTCTAAACTGATTGGAAAAGACACGGAAGAGGGATACTGGGTATTGTCAATACACAAGAATTAATGGGGAATGATTTTTTTCAGAAGGAAATGTTAATTCATTTATAATTTAAGTGGCAAATGCATAATATACTTACATGTATTCTCCATTAAAATCACATCCTAAATATAAGGTTAAAGTAATTTCATTTTATCTCCAGAGGAAAAAATATAAGAGAAATTTACATTTCACTGAGAGATTAAAAGTAGATATTTTTAAATCTCATTACTTTACAATCTGCTAATTTATATTGTCTATTAGTTTAACCAGGATTGAATTGAGCTTTAGCATACACGTGTGTTAAAGAAAAAGACTTCTTAATTAAGTTAATAAAGTATGTAAAAGTGCTCTGTTACTCTAGAAGGAAATATTTATCTTAAACATTCAAGCAGGTTTTAAGTAGCTTAATAGTACCTACTGGCTACAAACAGTAATCTTTCAAATGATTTTTCTAATAATCCAAGTGCATTTTGCAGAAATACTGCTTTATGACATTTTATTGACTACTATTTTTGTATTGCTGTCTGTACTTAAAAGTCATTTAATAGCTTTTCAATATTTATATTGATGCATTATGTTTATACTAATAGTGGAATTCATATTACATATTCATGCATGTATACAATATAACAATACAATTTCAGCTTTTAATGATAAACTTCAAACTGTAGAGCATTCAAATTGATCATTCTCCTATGAACTAAGATTTTCTATAATATCTCATACCTACTTTCTATTTTACACCATTCTTTTTTTGTGTGTTTTTGTATCAGGGATTGAACTCAGGGGCACTCCATCACTGACCCACAGCCTTAGACCTATTTTATATTTTATTTAGAGACAGGGTTTCAATAAATTGCTTACAGCCTCATTTTTTATTGAGGCTGGTTTTGAACTTGCAATCCTCCTGTCTCAGCCTCTGGGATTACAGGCATCTACCACTGCACCCAGACCAGCCATTCTTAATAAGGTCTTAGACTAGGCTTTCAGCATTTGTCAACTGGATTTTTGGAAGCCTTCCATGTCAACAAATCTCTCTGGAACATTGTATTTCATGGTCTCCTTCCCAGTGTCCATCTGCTCCTACTATTGCCATAATGACCTTTGGAAATAGCATCTGGTATTGCTAACTTATCGTTTAAAATCCTTTAATGATTCCCCATTGTCAATAAAATTAAATCTTATACCTTATATTCACATCTGTTAAAAAGTACCTTTAGGATGTGGAGGTTGTGGCTCAGTGGTAGAGTACTTGCCTAGCATATGCAGGGCCCTGGGTTCGATCCTCAGTATCACATATAAGTAAATAAACAAAATAAAGGTATTTGTCCATCTACAACTAAAAATATATATATACTTAAAAATATCTTTAGAGATATTAAGTATAACATGGTTTATTTGAAGAAAGAATGATTCATGAATTGGGGAACTCTCAGTACCAGGTAAGGTTCAG